TTTGTTTGCATCCATGTTTAATTGATACCAAGGGCCTTTTTGAATAAAATTATGAAAGAAAATTCAGTCATAGTTTGTCTCTCAACAAATCGTGCAATACGCTCATTTTATAACTGGAGAACTGCGCCAATTTTAGCTTATTTCTGCTAACATGATGGCATGGTCATGACCATGCAATGTAATATAAAGACATACTGGCGTGGGTAGGTAATAATACCAGGGAACAGAAGTGATTTTTGCAATGATTACTTTATCTATGGTGTAAAATAGAAATGAACCAAGCGTTTATGATTGCTGATTCTGTTCAAAATTGGTCAGATCAACCATCCATTAGTACATGACTGATTTTGTACTAGAATAATTTTACAAGATAACTTTGTACAACTGGAGAATCGAATACAGAGATTTTTAAGGCTCTGCTTCTTTTCACTAACATTACATCTTTCTGGGGAACAAACATTTATGCAATTACTGTAATTACGATAAGAACTCGATTTCCCATCCAAAGTATAGAAAATGAGTATCCACACAGGACTATGTAATTGTGTTTACTTCCCCGTCCTCCCACCCCAAGAAAATCTTTCACTCAGACAGTGCTAGATTGTTTATTTGATACATCAGTGTTAAAATCATACAAACACATGGATGAAAATAGGAATTAAATTATGTCTTCTCTTTGAGTCCCTTTAGGGGAGCTGAAGGGAGCAAAGAGAGGACAAAGCAAAGTGAACTCAGTGTGAAGGAATGTAGCTAATGTTCCTTATCTGACCTCATGCTGAGCCACAGCACCAGTGCTGAGCAGTTCTTCTATGGCAGCATCCTTGTAGCCCAGTGTGCCCTTCAGTATCTCCACTGTGTGCTGCCCAACAAGAGGCGGCGGCTTCGGCTGCGACATAGAAAATTCACTGTATCTGACAGCTGGCCCTATAAAAACACAACCAAAAAGAGATAGGAAGGAAATTAATATCAAAAATAACTACCTGTATTCATACTGAATCGTTTATGTTGGTTTAAAGGAGAGTATTTCCTTTTCAGAGCAAGTCATTCAGTACTTATCAGAGAAAAGTTGTGTTTTGGAAGTAAAGACTAAATAAATTGCTATTTGCAATAGGCTAGCTATGTATCAATAACCCAGTTTTAGGTAGTTCACCAAATGCATACATCTGAGGCATACGTCTACAATATTATGCTATTGGCGTAAGGTGTGCAATGCTCAGGACACACTGTGGCATGTCCTGAGAAAACCCCCATACTCCTGAATAGGAGGCAATCCTACCATGAGAATCCAACCCAATGCCATGTTAATACACCATTATGGCTGTCAGAGCAGTGCCCTGGACCAGGGGAAGCACCACTGCCAGTTAGCAACAGCTCAAGTACCTATGCCCCCTGAGGCCACATCTGGAGCACTGTGTCCAGTTCTGGGCTCCACAGCACAAGAGGGATGTGGAGCTGCTGGAGAGAGTCCAGCACAGGGCTACAAGGATGATCAGGGGCCTGGAACATCTGCCCTGTGAGGAAAGACTGAGGCAGCTGGGCCTGTTCAGCCTGGAGAAGAGAAGGCTGAGAGGGGATCTGATCAGCGTCTATAAGTACCTCAAGGGAGGCAGTGAGGAGGATGGTGCTGGCCTCTTTTCAGTGGTGGCCACTGACAGAATTAGAGGAAACAGCCGGAAACTGAAGCATCAAAAGTTCCATGGGAACTTGAAGAAAAATTTCTTAACAGTGAGGGTGACAGAGCACTGGAACAGGCTGCCCAGAGAGGTTGTGGAGTCTCCTTCTCTGGAGATCTTCAAAACCCTCTTGGACACAGTCCTGTGCCACGTGCTCTAGGTGACTCTGCATGTGCAGGGGGCTTGGACTAGATGATCTCTAGAGGTCCCTTCCATCCTTAAGCATTCTATGATTCTGTGATACGCAGCATGCTCCACTACCCTGTGGCAATGCTGAATCCCAACCTTCTTTTATGTTTTCTATCAAAAACACAGGTAGTGGCAACGATCAGTAACTCAGCACTGGTTAATTCTGGCAGGAATCATTTCATACTGTCACTGGGAAAAGCACACAACAGGCTGAGTACTCTCATGCCTATCACAGGTAGCGAGACCTTACTTTTTGTAATCACCCGTAGTGAACCAAACAGAGATTTCAGCATACCTCCTTGCAGACAAGTAGCCACATCATTATTGGTAGTCTCAAAGGAGAGAACAGACTGCAAATTTACTCTACTGTCAGTACACTTATCTATACACACTATGTATGGATATAACTGTTTTAGAGAGAGAGGACCAAAATTTCCAGAATTGTCAGTTGAAAACTTTAATACAAAATTTAACACCATTTGATGTTCTGGACAATTGCCAGAAGGATTCCTTTATTCACAGTTATAGTCTTTTTTATACTATCAAAAGATTTTAAAGACAAAGTTGTCAATACCACTGAAGTGTTACTTAGAAATGAAATGTGTAGGATGCTTTATCAGGCAGAACAGTGTTTGACTTAGTTCTGAAGGAATTAGAAACATATCAGCCAGCAAAGGAAATGAACCACAATCAGAAGTGATTCTGTAAGCAGTGAGTAGCGAAGGTCACTACTTATTTTAGTGACTACTTGTTTGAGCAGAGCTCCTGACAGCAGTCATGCAACACGCCAAAATACATCATTTTTGCAGTCTTCATTAAATAGATCAGTTGTCATTAAGTGGTTAACACACTCAAGGCATCCATCTCCAAACAAAACAGAATAAGACAAAAGGCGCTTAGAAAAAAAGTTTTGTGGGTTTTTTTTTTTTTTCACATGAGTAGGTATGATGAACTCCATTCCTAAAGAAAAAGCAGATTACATGTCAGAACCACTTCTGTTTGAGAACTCAGGAATAATGAGTATGTCCTGGTACGGGTCAACTATCATTCCTGTGTTTGAAGAGGGAAGGAAGAAGAACTGGGGAATTAGAGACCAAACCTTTTAACCTCAAGTTCCATTAATTATTGCAACAAATAATCACAGTGAAAATACTCAGGAGATGAGTAACAACCAGTATGTTTCTATTAAGAACAAACATTATCCATGCAAACTCCTGTCTTTCTGCACAGAAGAAACAGTGGACATGAGATACATCCTATTTAACTGTAACCATGTCTACATGTAGATTTTTAATTGCTTAGAGTCTTTGACTCCTTTTAGAGTCAGTGTAGAGGAAAAAGCACACTTACAGCGCAATTCTTGTCATACTTTGCCCAAACTTGGCCACATGAATTGCAACCATCTGTCTTTCCCCAGGAAAGGGAGGCTAGACAAGTGCCTCAGATGTAGACCTCTACCATCCAGAAATCTGAAGTCCGGTGAGAAGAACATCCTGACTAACAGGATGTCAGATCAAGATCTGGATTTCAGAAAGCAACTTGGCACTGATATTTTTTGTAATCTGAATAAAGGAAGGTTTAGGTAAATCTTAAGCCAGGTGTGATACTAAGTGGGAAATCATATTCAGAGAATAGCTAGCAGGGTCCTTCCAAAATGGAGGACTGTTTCAAGTAAGCTCCCCAGGCATCTGTTTAGAATGAGGCTATAATTGTGTATTTGTTAGTGGATCTGCTGTTGCAAGTCAGATTGTACCTGCCCTGTTTTCAGAGGACTTCAAGCTAAAAGTGAATTTGATTACTTTAAAGGCAGAAACATTTTTCAAAATTACCTGGCTACTCTGGAGAAGCGGACTAACAAAACCGTGGAATTCAATTATGTCAAGGGGGAGGAACTGCATGTAACTACACAAATACAGGGCAGGGGACTACTAGCAAGGTAGGGGTTATTCTAGATCACAAAGTGAACATGATTCAGCAATATCATGCTGTTGCGAAAAGGCAAACGCCCTATAGGGATGCACAAACAAGAGAAAAAGATGCAGAACATATGAAACAATAATTTTGCCCTAGTTAATACTGGCAGGTCACAGCTGGAGAAGTTTCTGGTGTGGGTCTCACACTGCACAGCAATGCACAACACTTCAGGAGATTCTACAGGAGACCAAAACCAAAATGTATAGGAAAAGAAAAGAGTAAAAACAACAAATCCCAAGCCAAAACAAAATCCATCCCTGCTGCAAGAAGAAATCAAGTAATAATTTTTCATGCTCTCAATAGATGAGAAATAATTGAATTAAATTGAAAAAAAAAAGAGAGAGAAGACTGACATTAGGTAATAGAAAATAATGTTGTATAACGATAAGGGTAGTAAAGCTTAGGAACAGTTTTTCTGAGGAGGCTGCAGAGTTTCTGTCAATGAAGTGTTTAGGAACAAGAACTGCTTTGGCACAGCTAATACTACCTTGGGGCTTGCTGAACTAGGACTAGGACTAGTTCAGCTAAATTAGGTGAGCTCTCATAGTCTCTTCTACCCAGCAATAAATAGGAAAGCTAAGGAAAAGGTCACATCAAGGATAAGTTTTCTACCATCTTACTTCCCTACTTCTATTCACTTTTGAACATATTGAGTTCAATTTTCAGGGTAAATTTCAAGTGAGAGGTCAGTACATTTTAAAGAAACAGATATGTCACTCAGATACATCTCCCTTGGACTGACAGAGGACTGAATTGGCTCAAATATAAGACACAGCAATAACCTAACTATGCCAAGTGAAACGTTCACGAAAATAATCTAGAGCAAAAATGCCTCTTCGAGGTTGATTAGTCTAAAATTCAAAGTATCAATAAAAGTATCAAGCAATTTTTATAAAACAAAACCCAATGACATATACATTTAAAGCAATCCAAACTCTGATGGTGTCTGACAGTTCTTTATATAGAGAAAGCAGAAAACCTGCAAAGGAACTAGCTGAATAGTTCTACATGATTTGCATTTCATTCTGCAAATTTTTACTAGGGTAAATACTGCATACATTAAAATATGACCTTTTGCATTGATATCAAAAGACACTGAAGAAAGCCTCTAATGAGCCTAAACTGAACTTGATATTAAATGCACCGCAAGCATAGAATGTTTCCCACTTCCCAAAGAAATTAATTTTACAAACTAGAGCAAACAAGAAAATTGCACTGCAATTAGAAAATCAGTGTCTTCTTTGAGCCTTTATTACTTGATGCATCATTAATCATGCTACTTTTCACTTTGATGGAGTTATAAAGTTATCTGCATTCATTCAATGGAGCTCCTTGCTAATGATCCATCATTAATGATTCTCTGTTCTTTCCTTGTGTAAATTCTACTTGGCTTCTGTGTCAATTAGGAGGGTGCCAAGCTTGCCAGTCAGACTTCAGCAATCCCACGCTCCCGACTGAACAATGCTCCCAGAGAGCAACCAGCAGAACGCTATGCAAATGCTAATTAAACACAACTGCCTTATGAGGAAACCATCCCTTGAGGCGCAGAGAGGTGAACTGCTTTAATTAAGGTCAGAAGCATTTGCATATGGGTGAGTTACAGGCATGGAAACAGGCCTTCGCTGGGGGTAGCAGCAGGGTTACTGGCTGGATGGTCGAAGGCTGTGGACACTGGGGTATTCTGGTCCCTCTGCTGTGAGCAGGACACTGTCCTCAGCCATGAAGCTACATGAATGGATACAGTCACCTGAAGAAAGCAAAGAAGGAAACAGCAGCAGCTCTGATTTATATTTGTCCTGCTAAATTAGACTTTAGGAGTCTCTTTTTCTTTTATTTATTACTGCCAGTAAATAAAACCCAAGAGGCTCCTTGACTAAAGTTCTCTAGTTGTAAAGTTCTAGGCTAATCTGTTTTCTTTATTATTTTGACTTCTTTGGCACGTTGCTACAATTCATGTTGTGCACAACACAGTGTTGAAGGCGTAATAGTGCAAAAATTGACCAAACCTTTTATCACTTGCAATTATGATAGCAGCTATACCAAGCTATCTCCAAGACTTTCCAGTATCATTATAAATTCAATTTCTTT